TCCACAGACCACAGTCCACATGACCTCTCCCAAGCCCACATGACTGATCACAGTCCACATGACCTCTCCCAAGCCCACATGACTGATCACAGTCCACAGACCACAGTCCACATGACCTCTCCCAAGCCCACATGACTGATCACAGTCCACAGACCACAGTCCACCTGACCTATCCCCAAGCCCACATGACTGATCACAGTCCACAGACCACAGTCCACATGACCTATCCCCAAGCCCACATGACTGATCACAGTCCACAGACCACAGTCCACATGACCTCTCCCAAGCCCACATGACTTACACACAGCCCACGTAATGCATCCACTCCTCTGGCCTCACCGGTCTGTGTTGATCCTGTCACTCACCACCATGTCTGCCTGTGTGTCTTTCTGCAGGGAGAGAAAGGAGACCCTGGTTCCCCAGGAAAGGATGGAGAAATAGGACAGAGAGGGGACCCTGTGCGTACCTCCCAGCCACCTCTGCTCCTCCTCTAAGCAAGCGCTTTTGCAGTCTGTTCATCAGGAAATCTCTTCCATCTCTCTGTAGGGTCTTCCTGGAAAAGAAGGAGCCAGTGGGCTAAAAGGAGAGAAGGTGAGCTGCGGTCCGGCCTGCGATGAAAACCGCACAGCAGACATGGAGGTGTAGGATATGCGGTTATTAGTTTGTTCAGTAAGCAGAATCAGCAGTCTCTCTACGATGATGATATTTGGTACTCAGTAATGAGGAAGATCTGTTGAGCGTGTAAAAAGTGAGCTACGCCTATGCAGCATAAAGAGACACGGCTCGTAGCAGAGCACAGTGACAGAAAACCAAGATGAGCTCTGAAGAGGGTTTGGGAAGGAACGAGGCGTAAAGACGATGTCATAAATCACTATTTAATGCATAAAAATAATGCATTACCCACAGTTCACAGTTATCCAACCAGTCCAACCCCAGTGAGGCAACCAGGACGTCAGGGAAAATTTAGCCCCGTTGTCTCAAGGGAACAGACCATGGGCTCCCCCTGCTGGTCTGTAAATGCATACTTCTTGGTGTGGGCATGGGAGGGCAGTGGGATATCCATGGCCTAGCTGGCCACGTCCACTGAACTTGGCTGAAGATGAATGAGTTGGGAAAGTGTACAGCGCCCTCTTGTGGGCAGCGACGGGGCTCGTTAGGGTCAATGCTGGTGTCAAACTAAGGGACAGTGTGTGGCTCAGCAGGTTTGGAAGCAGCTCCTGTGATCAGAAAGTCCAAATCCTAGACTCGGCAGAATGGTTTCACTGCTGGGTTAGGCCTTTAACTCTAACTGCTCTAAGGACTGTTTGACCTGCTTTCACAAAAACATGCATCACCTTGGAGAAAAGCATTGTGAAGTAAGTCATTTTAAAAAGCTGACCAGTCTCTATTCAGACCCTTTTTGTTTAGTGTATCTTTAGCTGATGGACAGACACCTCAGTCCCGAAAGCTACTTTGTGTCGTGCTTGAGTTTTCGGAATCTCATTAAATAAAAACACTTCAAATAAAGGCTGGTCAATTAACCACACATCCGGTCGTCAGGTTTTAATTTGTACTCTTTCAGTTGTGTTTTTATATTCCAGTAAAGTCAGTGGGTAACCCATTTGGAGATGCAATTATATACAGTACATTGATTTGAATATCTAGGATCATCTGAATAAACAAGATCAGCTCTTGCGGGGATGGAGGGACACGATGCAAACCTCTAAGAGCAGAAATCTGCACTTAATTTGTCTGAGCAGTTTATTGTGCAACCAAACTCCTAAAAACAGCATCACTGCTCTATCAGTCACCTTTGAGGGGCGCTATTACATTCCATACAAATCATGTGGAAAGGGCTTTTAGGTCCAGTCAAAGTGATCTGGAAGGTTCTAATGGCCACCTAGGCCCCAGACAGTGAACAGTCCACCTCCCTGATGCCATCTTTGTTTTTGTTCAGCTCCGATATCAGTCAAGGAGAGTGTTTTTAAGGTGTGTGCTTCTCTGTGTGTTTCTCTGTTTACCAGGGAGAAGTAGGACCCCAAGGACCTCCTGGCCCGGTAAGCGTATGTGGTGGCTCCGATTCCGTGTGCGTGATGTGAGGTAGGAAGTGCTGTGACAGTACAGACAGTGCGAAACAGACGACTGAGGACAATCTCGAGATGAGCTGTACCT